AGGATTTTTCTAAAATAGTTATGTCTTTAACTCAACTCACCAAGAAAGGTTAAACTTTTGAATGGAAAAAAAAACGAAAATGTTGGCAAATTTTGGGTCATGTATATATATGATACATAATTTAAATGTGTTAGGGTCATTATTTATTAAGTCAAATAATAAAGTGATCTGACTAAATTAAAAAGTTTGGCTAAAGTCATATGTCATGAAAATAAAATTATGTAGAGACCATAGAGCAATTTCTAATTTGTTGAGGGGTCAAATTAGAAATACTAAAACTTAAGTAATTAACCTAATTCTGGTTATTTTAAGGGGTCATGGTCCCCTTCTGGGAGCACGTAGACAGAACGTAAATTTCATTCTTGTTCCTTTCTTTCTATCCCCATTAAGAGAGAAATTCAAGAGGGAAATACAGGTGTTCTTGAGGTGGAAGACCATAAGATCAATATAGTACTCTACAAAGATATCATTATTATGGCTAATTCGAGTACGCTTTCGCATTCAGCTTCATGACATATTTATCAGTATGAGATTACGTTTATGTTTGATCGTTAAAATCAAAATCAGGATTATTATTATTATTATTATTATTATTATTATTATTAATTTTTCCAACAGAAAATAGTTTTTAAGAGCTTAAGAAAATATTAACTACTTCCCTGTACTCGGCATTACCTAACCTTATTGAACACTTTGTGATATTTTGTGATGCTTCCAAAATGGGATTAGGATGTGTTCTTATGCAATATAGAAGGGTAATTACATATGCTTATAGATAATAAAAATACATGAGAAAAATTATCTAACTCATGATCTAGAAATAGTCATCATTGTTTTTGCACTCAAAATATGAAGACATTATGTGTATGGTGATAAGTTTGAGGTTTTTAGTGACCATAAAAGTCTTAAATACTTGTTTGATAAAAAAGAGTTAAATATGAGACAAAGAAGATTGATGAAATTTTTGAAAGATTATGATTTTAAATTACACTACCATCCAAGAAAGACCAATGTAGTGGTAGACGCTTTAAGCAAAAATTCTTTACATGTTTCTTCCCCGATGATTAATGAAATGAGTCTACTAGAAAAATTCAGATTCATGAATTTGTCAATTACCGTGAGCCCTAATAGAATGAAATTTAACTCAATTCAAATTACTAGTGATTTACAAAGGCAAATCCATGAGGCTTAGGTAAGTGATGACTTCATTCAGAAGAAAAAGAAGTTGATAGGACAAAAGAATGAAGAAAATTTTGACATAGATAGGGTACAAATTTTGAAATTTAATCGTAAGATATGTATGCCTAATGATGTAGAGATTAAGAAGTTGATTTTAGATGGAACACATAAGAGTAAATTGAGCATACATCCAGACACAACAAAAATGTATCAAGATCTTAAGAAAATGTTTTGGTGGCCTAAAATGAAGAAGGAAGTGACACAATATGTACCATCATGCTTAGTTTGTTAGAAATCTACTATAAAACATCAACAACCTGGAGGATTCTATAATCTTTAGACATACCTGAGTGGAAATGAGATAATATAGCGATGGATTTTGTAGTTGGTTTACCACGAACAATTCAAAAATTTGACTCCATATGGGTTATCGTGGATAGGTTAACAAAGTCTGCTCATTTTTTACCCATTAACATTAGGTATTCATTGGAGAAACTGACTGAATTGTACATATGAGAAATTGTGAGGTTGCATGAAGTTTCATCTAATATTATTTCTGATAGGGATCTTGGGTTTACTTATAAATTCTGGGGAAGCTTACACCAAGCCTTAGGGACTAAGTTTCATCTTAGCTCAACTTATCATCCTCAAACTGATAGACAATTAGAAAGAACCATCCCGTCTTTGGAAGATTTGTTGAGACCGTGTGTGTTAGATGATTCTACTAGTTGGGATCGGTACTTATCATTAATCGAATTCACTTACAACAACAATTTTCATTCTAGCATAGCTATGACACCCTATGAGACATTGTATGGGAGAAAATGCATAACACCTTTATGTTAATTTGAGACTGGAGAAAATTTAATCTTAGGTTCTAACATGATTCAACAAACCATAGAGAAAATTAAGATGATTCAAGAAAAATTAAGAACTACTCAATGTTGACAGAAAAGTTATGCTCGATAAGAAAAGACAACATCTTGAATTCCAAGAAGGTGAGTATCTATTCTTGAAAGTAACACCGAAAACTGGAGTTTGTAGAGTGATGAAAGCAAAGAAACTCATTTCTCAATTTATTGGTCTTTATCAAATTCTCAGAAAAATAGGTCATGTTGTTTACATAATTTCCTTACCTCCTTTCATTTTTAATCTTCATAATGTGTTTCATGTGTCTCAATTAAGAAAATATATTTATGATTTTTCTCATGTAATAATGTCAAATACAAGTATATTTAAATGATAACCTTACATTTGAAACAATGCTTACACATATTACGAGATACGAAGATCAAGTAACTAAGCAGTAAGACAAATTTCACTAGTGAAGGTTGTTTGGAATGAAATTACTGGAGATATTACGTGAAAATTAAAAAAAAAATAATAAAAAGTTACCCTCATTTGTTTAGTCAATAAAAATTTTGAGGACGAAAGTTCTATAAGTATAAGGAAATGTAAGACCTCAAAATTTATAATGTAAAAATTTTCAAATATATTGCATTAAATTATATCACTAAGTAATTTAAATATATTTATAATAAAACAAGCATTTATAATATATATATTATTAATTTATTATAAACAAATATTCATTACAATTATTTAGTATTATTAAAATAAAAATATATCTATTAAACAAAAAATTATTATTTATTATGGTTATTATTAATTAAAATAATAATAGTAATAAATAATAAAATAATTATTATCAATTAAAAATATATATATATATATATATATATTATGAAATTAACAATAATTATTATTATAATACATTATGAAATTATTATTATAATTAAAATATATAGATTAATAACAATAATTATTATTATATTATATATTATTATTAATATATATATATATATATATATATATATATATAAAATAATATTGCTTATTTCTTCGTACAAGAAAAGACGAACCTTAATTGATAAAAGGAAAAAAAAAACAATTTAATGAAAGAGATAAGAAGCATTCTATGAAGGAAAAAAAAGTAAAATAAAATAAAAATATTATTATATAAAGGGTAGGGTGTGGTAAAAAAAAAAAAAAAAGTAAGAATTGGAGAGAAGGAAAGAAGAAAAAGGAGAGAGGAGACAAAAAAAGATAACTTAGAACACAAATTTTGATGTATCATATACAATATTAAGGTAAGAGAGGAGACTATTATCATTTTATCTATTTTATTTTAATTATATTTGTGAAGTGAGGTGTCTTAACCTCATTCTATTTATTCTATTATTTATTTATTTATCTCTAACTACATATACTGATATGTTTTATGTTTAATTATTTATCTTTAGTCCCGCATTAGTCTTAATTTAATTATCTCTCGTATTGGTCCTGTTTTATGTTTATTTATCTCGAGTCATTTACTAGCTTTATTTTAATTATCAATATCTACTTAAATAGATGAAGACGTCAAATATCACAAATTCCTTTTTTACAAGCATCACTATCTTCTTTCCAATAACTACTTGAAACACAAATATTATTAACAACTCGAGTTACTTTTTGAGAGATAGGATTATCAAGTATTAACATTTGTATCTGATATGTGAACTCCTATCATGTTAGACGGACCAATAGTGGTCACCTTCCGTATATCTCCTACCATTTACTAAAATCCCTTGATCAGTTTGTTTTCACCAACAATGTAAATATTTATATACTTGTAGTAAGAATAGAAGGAATAAAAAATAAATAAAATTTCTTCTTCTTTTATATATCCTGTAAAAAAAAATAAGTAATGTAAATTACTTGTATATATAAAACATCTCTATTTTTCTTGCTACCCTCGTCAAACAGACAAAAAATAATAAAAATTGTCACAACCACTTGCTGTAAAAACTTAATTTTGTTATCATTTTAATTTATATTCATATCAAATTTTGTTAAATTAAATGACAAAATAACACTTCATATTTTATTTATTTTAAAAAATAAATATTGTATTAAGTTTGATTGACATTATATATATATATATATATATATATATATATATATATATATATATTTCTTATATAAATTTATAGGTTGATAAAAAAATTTATCTTTTGAGATATGTTAAAGAATAAAGACACCTTCAAATATTTTTTGATATTTAAATTAATAAGTGAATATGTAAATTAAAAGAAATACATGATAAGATCCAATTAACTAATAATTGAAACCTTTCAAAATAATTAAATAATAAAAATATAATTAATATTTAATTATTATATTAATTAAATATGTTTTTTAATATTAAATTTTTGAAATATTAAAAACTATAATGTGTTTTTAAAATAAATATTTTAAAAATGTTTAAAATTAAAAATATAATAAAAAAATTATTTAAAAAAATCTACGACCCAACTTTTAATCAAATCTAACCCATCTCAATCAAGGATTAGATTAATTAAAATAAAAAATAATAATAATAATAAAACCTTTTTTAGATTTTTAAGTGGAGGGATTGGTTCGTCCAAACCAAAACCTTATCCAACTTGTGCACGTCCTAAATCTAATTATATAAAAATGAAACCAAGACCTAAGCTAAAAGGCCTTGGAGACAGGAATAAGAATAGATTATGAATTTTTGTTTATAAGCTGCAAAGTCTAGCAAAAATATTCATAAAAACAAATCAACACGAATATAAACAAAAAAAAATTCATATTTTTTTACTTAGTTCATGAAAGAAAGAAACAAGTCTTGCATTTTAACATTTTAAAATAATATTTTTTTTATTAATCTTTATTATCTCACATTTCTTCAATAAATGTCCCATATTTTATTTCAATTAATCGCTTAACATTGTGGATTGGTTTAATTTTGAAAGTTTTGGAAAACGGCAAGTACGAGTACAAGTGTCATTTGGCCTCCAGGGATATGTTACTCTACTTGAAATTATAGAAATTATTATTGCATCAAAATATGATAATTTCAATACTTAAGATTAATTAGTTTTAATTCTTATATATTCTTATATAAATACAAGAATAGTAACATTTGAAAAGAATTTTTACCGGTTCACAATGTTCAAATATTAATAAAAACTTTTAGACAAAATATAACAAATTAGAGATAAATATGTATACCTTCCGACCTTTATATGTATTAACTTCTTTTTTATCTTCGTTTCAATGAAATCTAAACGAGCATTGATACTATCCTTTATCTTGCTCTTAATGTTCAAAAGTGTTCCAATTAAATTATTACATACATTTTTCTCCATGTGCATTACATCAATATAGTGTCTCATATTAAGTTTACTCCAATATAGTAGATCAAAGAAGATACATAATTTCTTCCAAATGTTAGTTAAAACTTTTTTTTCCAAACACAACATTAATATCTTTCACCCGGAGTTGGTGCATCAAGTATTCTCTTGATGTCCATTAAAAGCTTTTCTCAATTGATAATAAGGTGAATTATTTTAGAAATCTCCGATGTCAAAGATAAACTATCTTCCTACCATGTTTCAGTTGCTTTAGTATTTTTCTTGACAAATAAGACAAGCTTTACGACTCTTTACACTATAACCTGACAAGTTTCCATATGCAGGAAAATCATTGATAGTGTAAAATAACATGACATGCATCTTGAAAGACTCATGTGGAAATTCGTCAAACACCTAAAACCTTCATCCCATAAAGGTTTCAAATCTTCAATCAATAGACTAAGATATACATGTATATAATTTCCTGGTTGTCTTAGACCCGAGATCATCATAGACAACATCATGTATTTATCATACACAAGTGTGGAAGTAGGTTGTAAATAAATAACATAACATGTTAAAAGCTATGATTAATACTTAGATTAATAAATAGTCAATCCAAATCTAAGATTTATTACTCGGTTTACTAACCCATTTTTAGATCCAATTTTTATTATTTATCAACACCAATTTATCCACTTGTAGGCCCATTTTAGGTCCAATTTGATCAATTATTAAGTCATCTAATTTTAAAAATAGACTTAAAAAAAATTATAGATTTGGTATCATCCTAAAACATTTCATACTAAATTGTTGGAGAGTATTTTGTGTTTATAGGGTTAGTTTATTTTTATCTTTTTTCAGTTTTGGTTCAATTTAATCCTTAATTTTCTTATTGATGCAAATATTCCCTAAAAGTTTATAACTAATACATTTTTATATTTTTTCGTATAAATTAAAATATAACTAAGGGTGACTTTAAAAATCATTTAATTAATAGCAATATTTTACGTAACTATCAAAATCTCAATTAACAAAGTATTTAAAATTGAAAATATAATAATCTATATTATTTTAAAATATAATAAATATTAATAAAGTTTAAAATTTTAATATTAATAACACAATAATTTTTTTAAACATTCTAATTTTTATAACGCCTACTGATATTTTAAATTTAAAAATTTATTTTATTATATTTTACTGTTCTAAAATTATTAATACTTTTTATTATTAAATTTACTAATATTTTATTTATATTTTATATTTTAATTCTATAATATGTTTAATTTTATTACATATATTTTCATATTATTGACCTTTATTTGATATTATAGTTTTATTTAGCTATCTAAAGATGATTTTGTATTATATAATTCTATTTCATATAATTTTTTTACTACATAAAAACTTAAAAAAAAAACTGATCTATTAATATTCAACATTCAATTTTTAAATTTATTTAATAATTATTATATTTTAAAATAAAAAATAGAATTATCACAGTGACTTTTTTATATCACACCTATTTTTTAATTATTTTATTAAAAAAGTGGCGGTTAAGAACCATAAAATGACAAGTTTTCTGGTTGAATCTTTGGTACTAAAAGGTGTGAAAAAGAAAATTCACGAGAAATTGAATAATGACTAAAGGAAGGCATTTTAACATCTGGAACCAATCAAGAAGGTTCTTCAAGGGAGAATTTAAGTACTCTAAGAAGCATAAATATAAGTTAAATGTTCACAGCCTATTTCTTCAAGAGGAAAAACCATAAACTTGAAGAAGCTAAGTGAAGTTGAGTATTAGATCCTTGTGGTAGTTTTTTTTTTTCAATCTACCTCATATAAAGCTTTAATTTATGTTATCTTTATTTGGAGAATTTTTTCCAGGTTCACCTTTTTTTATTCTAAACATAAATTTATCTTATGTTTGTTCTTGTTTACAGAAAATAAACATTATTCAATAAGTACGAATGTTCTCATAATGGTAGGAAATATTTGAAATCTACACTTATTTATGATGTCAGAGGATTTGATTTTGGAAAAGTTTTATACAATCGCTTACATCATAAAAGAAAAAGTATATCACTTTAGGTTTCTTGCTAAGTTCATATTATTAAAATCATATAAAGAAATGTTTTATATTATTATTTTATTCAACAAACTAAAATCACATTTCTAATTTTATAATATTTTTATTTAATAATTGGTTTTGGGATAGGGTATGAGATTATATACATTTTTTTTTCTCCTACCCTCCTCAATCAATAAGTAAAAAGAAAATTTTGATATTTTATTTCTTTATTTTTGTTCCTGTGAAATAAAACCAAAGAGAGGAAATTTAGAAGTTGTAATCTGTAGCCCAAAAGAATGACTAAGCCCAATGTATATTGAAATATTAACTCTTCATTTTAGTCGATAAAAGGGCCTAAGCCCAATCAGATATTACATTTTCACTAGCATTTTAATATGCCATGGCATGCTTATGAAAGTTAATATCAAGTAGGCATTACGCCCCTTTTATTCAACAAAACGGAAATTTAATTTTTATATATAATCACAAGTATGTAAATCAATTTAATTTTTAAAAACCAGTGAACTAAATTTATACATAAATATAAAAAATATTTAATTTAGTTTCACTTTGGAGATAGTAAATATTTTATAATATTAAAACACTAATTTTAAATATATTATTATTATTATTATATATAATATTAAAATATCTATTAATAATTAGATGAAGCATGTAAAATGAATATTTTAATTATATAATTTTTATTTTTAAAAATATATAATAAATTAATATTTGTAATTAATAAAAATTGTAATATTTATATTATTTTATTAAGTTTTAAAGTAGTTTAGAACATACAAATTTACATTTTATTGTAAAAGAAATAACCAATATAGAAAAATAAATAAAGAAGATATGGGTAGGTAGTATAATTATTGTGGGAGTGGTGGTAAATTATGTCCTAAGAGAAAGGGACAGCGTTGTGGTGTGGGGACAATGTTGCGTGATGAAAGAAAGGTTGGGCAGAGGCAGACATCATGTGAATGTCACCTCATCCATCCTCCTCCGTTGCAAAACACTCGCCATATCACGTGATATCAACTCTTTCCATTCATGTCTAAATTAATACTACTATACATAGTTTTTTTTTTATTCTTTCAAATTCAATTTTTAACTACATGTTTACTAATTATATTTAATTGAAATAAAATATAAATATAGTTACTGGAAACAATTATGAATTTAAACATAGTAATGATTGTTTGATGATTTAGATAAGATGAAAATATTAATTATTTTTTAATTTATTAATTCATCTATTAAATTTATTTTTAATTATTATTATTTTATTAATTCACTTACTTTTTTGTTTCTTTTACCATTTTTATCTATTTATAATTATGTTTATTTAAAAATAAGAATAAATAAATTTAAACATATCAATATAATAACAATAAAGAAATTTAAGTAATATATATTATATATTTATATTATTAACTAAATAAAACAAAAAGATAATTGATATTTTATAATATAAAATAAAAATAAATAAAGTAAATTTAAAAATATCTTAAAATAGAATCTTATTTATTATTAATTTTTTACAAATATATGGAACATATAGAAAACAATAATAAAATAAAATAAAAAAGGAAAAATGTTACGAAAATAAAAAATTAATGAAAGATAAAATATTTTTTAATCTATATTTTTTATGCTTAAATAAAACAATAAAATTTAATATTCTTTATTTTCTTACTTTATTTATTTAAATTTTTTACATATATTTTGAAATAACTGAGGAAGAAATGGAATTTAATATTTGAATTGTTAACCAATATTTTTGTTCAATATAAATCGTATGAAAAATATTTCTAGTGCTTCATCTTCTAAGACTTTGTTTGAATTCAAACGCTGCATTTATTTCTATCATTGTATATAATACTGCATCTAGTTCTTCATTTTAAATAAAAAATTAATAAATTAAATTTTGTGTGGTCAGGGATAAAAACCTATTACATTTATACAGATATTTTTCAGAAAGAAAGAAAAAAATATGAAAACAGAAAAAAATAAGATAAAAATATATTTATTTTTTAAAAAAATATAGAAAATATGTTTTATTTAAAAAATAATAAATAAATAAATATTTGATAACTATAAAATCATTTTGTATAATTATTAATTAATTTTATCAACAAAATAGTTTTTCAATTAACATCTTTAAATTAAGCTATAGAGTTTAAAGTTTAAGATTTAGAATAATATATAATTATAAAATATTTTTTATTATAAATTTTTATTATATTTTCATATTTATTAAATTTTATTAAAATATTATAATTAAAATTTTGAAAAATAGCATATTTTTATTTTTTTTCTTATTTTATTAAATAAAGAAAATAAATTTTATATTTTTTTACTCGAATATTTTTTAATCTCCATTGTCCTGTAAACAGACATGACCCAAATAGTTTATTTAAGATTTAAATTCTATTAATGTGATTATGAAATAAATTATACTAACATTTAAAATACTTTTCAATATTTTTTTTACACTACCAACAACACCATTAATTTTATTAAAATTGTTTTGTAAATTAAAAAAAAATAAGTAGTCCATGTAATCATAAAAACGTAAAATAAAGTTGTTAATTTTATTATAATTATTTTAAATTTTATATTAATAGTATTTAGTATTTTACAATAAATCTTATTAAAAAAATCCTAAACTTAAAAAAAAAAAGTCCTTAAAATATATAGAAACTTATTAAAAAATTAAAAAAATACACTCCAATAAATAACCTTTCCCGTCCTTAACCAACAATTACATAAGATTATGAATGATAATTCAGAATTTATAGTTATTTACATAATACATAACTATTTCAACAACTAAATGCACAGAAACTATGCCAAGCCATGGTCCACACCATACAATAATTTCACTGCATATAACTGCATCATCAAGTTTTTAGGTGAACAGATATCAAGTGGTGAACCTTGTAAGACCCTTGGTTTTTGCTGTCCCTCTATACCAGAGTTGGTCAGAGATGCTGTTTTTTCTTTGTCATGTCCCTCCGTCTCATCATTTCAATGTCTCCTTCAGCTCTCTCCTAGCATAGACACTGCACAAATGCTACCCAACCTGAGCCCATCACAATCTCTGACTTATGACAACTAATTACTGATCCTCTAACTGCAAACCCTTTCGTCATCCTGCATGTACTCACTCTCTCATAAGGGTAAACAACACAATGTAAAATAACTAGCTTTCTCTCACTCTTCACTCTCTTCATTTGGTAATAATGAGAAAGTTAGAGCTACAAACAACTGGTGCTGCGAAATTTATGCTGTGATGATGGGTGTTGCAGTCACAGCTCCAACAGAAGCTCCCTTCAGATCAGACCATTGGAAGCATTTTGACGACTCAGTGAATGCAGTGTCTTTTGGGTTTGTTGCCACTGCCATCCTCATTTCTATGTTTCTTCTTCTGGCTATCTTTGAGAGATTTTTTAGGCAAAGATCAAGTGAAGCCAGTGTTGCATCTCCTATAAATCTTGAACACCAAATCGACTTTGGTGGAAAGTTCGAAAATTTATCACCCAAGGTGCACTTTAACACCCCCTCTTCTTGGATTTTGTTTACTTCTAGTCTAGTCTAGTTTATTCACTATGATGGTGAAAATGTGACTTTTTGCTCCCCCTTTTTACTTTCTTTTCATGCTGTTCTATAATGATGGACTTATGACTTATGGCTATGGTCTTTTTTACCATAACTTTGAATGTGCATGGGCAATAAAGTCATCAACTTGCATACAAACAAGTAACGATGTTAAACATTACAGATGGCACACCATCATGTACTGGATTTTTCTTGCAATGCTCTATGGTCAAGTTGAAAAGAATTTTCAGTTTTCCGTCTGCTATATGTGATTGGCCAAGTGAAAACATTTTGGTCCGAAAATCTTGTTTGGAAAGAGTTCAAATTCAGTGGGTTTTTGGTCACAAATATCTTCGAATGGCAGTATATGATAAATATTAGGAGTTTATTTATCTACAACCTACTTTGTAATATTCTAAGCATGACTTTTATGCTTATGTTTGTACAGAAAACTAACAAGGGAAACGCCAATTAGGTGTTTTTTTGTCTGTTTTTACTAGTTTGTTTGTATAACAGGACTTCTAAATGTTCGTAGCATAGCATGTGTTTCCCCCTTAAATGACATCAGAGAAACAATTAGCTGTATCAAACTTCTGGAACATAATTTACTCCCGAGTGCTACTAATTGTAACAAATAATTTAACTTGTAATGTTTCTTCATTAACTAGTCCATGTTAATTTAATAATGGTCCTACTCCTTTCAATCAGCCAAGATATATTCAGCTCTCAAGTTGAGCAATTTAGTACTCCTATTTATGCTCTGTGGATATTAAATTGGATTGGTGGTGGTTTTCATTGCAACCCTTATACTTCTTTGAAAAATTCAGACCAATGTTATCCATAAACCTTGATGTTGAGGTAAAAACTGTTCATTAAACCTTATTCATTATTATATCACACTGTTTGTAAAGAGGACAAAACTCTGTCAGTTGAGTATTGTTTGGGCTTCATGTACAGAGGATACAATTTCTTTTCTAGCAACCAGTCATCATACACATTACAGTATTGTTGTCCATCCGGCGATGATTGCATTACGATGTTTGATGAAAATACTAGACAAACTTTCTGTTTAATAATTGAATTCTATTTCTTAAATAAGTGATGAGTTTCGGGTGTTATGATTGTAGCATCATCATATTCCTATACCGATCAAAATCGACATGCATGTGCCGACACTTTACTACACTTTGAAGGCAATTAAGCACATGTAGACTGTAATGATATCTACTTGTTGAACTTTTACAAAACAAAGTAGTCTAATACTCTACTTTACACTGTTCACCTGTATGCAGTTGTTTTTCTTCTTAAACATTTCTTTAATCTTTCTTCTTGTGTAATACATTAGTTTGTTTTAGTCTTCACTACTTTCCTTCTGGCACTGTGGCATGCGTTTAACTTCTAAGTTGCATTACTCTAGTGGAATGGTAGATATACCCACATGTACTAATTGTCCGTTCTATGTATTATGCATAAACTATCAATCAATTAGAAAAACGATGGTAATAATTTTAAAGTAATTATTGTAAGCATCAATAAAATTATTATACATTAAATTTGTTTGGATACAAGCTAGAAATTTTAAGAATTTCTTGGCTGACATATAGAGTTTTTTTCCTGTAGAGAACTTCTCCAAACCACTTTTAGTTTATAACATACGTCAATATATGATTGAAGTACAATATAAAGATGCCTTACACTGTGGTATATGGATTGTTTACTCTATTATCATTTGAATCTAATGAAAGCTACTGTTTTCTAATTTCTGTTCAAGTTAATTAGATGACCATTTATGGAAGAGGTGTACTAGTGTTGATGCCTGGAGAGAAGATTCCTTCGTTCATTGCACTCCCTGTGCCTGCACCATGTCAACGCGAGCCCTTGTCATGGCCTAATTCAACATACTTCATGCTTCCTTGAACCTTTAACATCAGTGAGAGACCATAATCTAACAAGTAACTAAGATATGACGGTTCATCCCCTTTGACCTGTGACAAGAATTAAGGTCACGTGTAATTTAGGGTGTAAAAGCCTCTGGTGAGATTCATCATTGACGGGCATTACTTGGATAGTATAGATAGCAGAACGGCGTCTCTTTTCCACACAATTGAAACCCTTTTCTCCCCCTAATCAACTTGGTAGATCTACTACTTAGAGATGGAGTAAAATATTTGATATATGATGTTAAACAATTGCATTGTAATTTTCAATGGATGTGCCTTGCCAAGCATGAAATTTTGAAAAGTTCCCTTTTCCAAGGAAGTTATGGTTGAAGTTAGATGCCTTTTGTGAGTTATCATGCAGAGTTGCGTGGTGCTCAAGCTGCTAAGTAATTTGTTGTTTTGATCTGCCAAAGTGAGTTGAACATCCTCAGTTGAGACACAATGATTAACAAAACTTAGTAATAAATATTCTTTCATAGCGTGTGTGGAGACATTGCCTTGTAATTACAATTCTATAATAATATCCAACTTTGCATATTAACATTTTGTTTATTCATGTGACCATGGTTAAAGAACCAATCTTTGGATTGAGGAACACGCACATGGTCGGTTTAGGTTGGATAGTTGCTCGATTTCCATGCCAATATCAAAAATCAAAGAAGCCCCTTCTTTCCCATCCCCATAAAGGAAAGAGGGGGGCAAGGCAAGATGCATTTCTTTCCATTGTTTCATGTCACCTTCTTCCACAAATCCACCTTCCATACTCCATAGATTAAGATATAATATTTATAAGAGATCATGAGGGAGAACCTGGAAAAAAAAAAAAGTAAAAAGATAACATTTTTGAAAATAACCTGAATTAAAGGATCTTTCTTTCATTTTACCCTACACTTTTCCTTTGGGGGGAAATATAAATAGAAAGAATTTGGTGTCACAAAGTGTGTCTCCATAGATCTTTAATGGACTTTAATAGCTATGCACCACACTAAAGATACATCTTTTTTGCTTTAACAATAATTATTATAAAAGTTAACAAATTAATCATATATTATCGAATATTCACAACAATTATTCTAATTGTCATTTAAAGTTTGAGTTCTGCATGATACTTTATCTGATCATTTTCTTAAAACCTAAATTAAAAGTGTTGTTTAATATTTCTAAAAGAATCGAAAATATATTTTACGCAACTTAAATACTGGAATATTAAGTGTTTCATTAATATTAAGAATAATTTTGGAAATTATAAATTTAAAATATATTTAATACAACAAGTTAAATTAACTAATTTCAATTATTATGAAGTATTTAATTATGTTTTTAAAAAGGATCCGAGACATAATTATATATATTATGTCTTTAAATATTTAATTAGATTAAATATCCATCAACTAGAGAACACTGAAGAATCTAATATTTGTCAAAATAAAATTGTGTCGTTATTAATTTTTTTTTATACCCTACAAAGTAAAGAGAGTAAAATGCCCGTAACATGCACCTAAACTTTTCCATCTTAATAGAATGTACAAAATATCCATAAGGTGAAAAAGAAAATCAGAATAAACTTTTTTTGAAATATGAAATATTTGGGACTCGTTTCATATGCATTATTTACACCAAGTAAATTGTGATGAAGAATACAAAAAGCGAAGCACAAAAGCTCCACCGTTCTATCAAAGCTCTTAAAAAAGTCAAAAGTGAAACCTGCTACTATTTGAAACGAACGCAACCCCATGTGGAAATCGCTTCCAGAAGTCCCGAAAAGGTTGTAAAACGTGATTCTACAGAAAAATAAAGCACTCCATCGAAACGTGCGGGTTCTCGAGGCACTCTTCCTGCGAAACGACGTCGTTTTTCTCCCCAACCTCCTCACCCTCACCCTTCTTTTCGTTCTCTTTCTCCTTGTCCACCGCAAGCCCCGGCGCAGTCTCTTTCTTCTCCGCCGAACTCAGCGGCGCCACCTCTTTCCGAATACCTCCGGCACCCACCTTTCCCGTCATTGCACGCGCGGGAGACCTCGATCTCCTACCTGAACCCTCGCCGGAGTCCCGCCGGATAGAGGCGGCGCCGACGTTTCGCCTTCGATTCGCGGCCGCTACGGATTCCCTTGCTTCCCTCCCCTAAGTGGCCTCGAACTTCCCTTAATTTTCTTCTCCGGCGACGGCTCCGACCTCCTCGCCGGTGACTTGAGTCTGCGGTCTCTTCCGCCGGTGGGGTTGCCGTCGGAGACATGGGGTCTCTTCCTGGACGGAGACTGGTCCCACTTGTGCACTTTGCTGGTTGCATCGTCTTCTTCTCTTACCTCCGTGACGGTGGTGGCGGTGATGGTGGCGGTGGTGGTTGTGGCGGCGGAGAAGCTCTCGCTCATGCTGCATGTTTCTGAGAGCTGAGAGACAGCTTCGGAGTGTTCTTCTATAGTGGGCTCGGTTTGGAAAATGGGAAGTGGGTTTTGAAGGAGAGGCGAAAGGGTGTTTGTTTCTGGCGTCAAAATTGGAACTTGTTGTGCAGGTTTGGAAATTGGGGTCTCTGAGAGTACTTCTTTCACATATTCCTCTTCAAAGGCTGGTGGCGGCGGCGGCGGCGGCGGAAGTGGTGGTTCATGGTGTTGATTTTTCTGGGTGGTTTGTTTGTTTTGGTTTTGATTTTTGGGTGTGCTGATGCAGCAACCCATTGGGGTGGAATGAGAAGGGTTGGATTTAGAGTGTGAGGGTGGGGCAGTGAGGAGAAGAGAGTGTTTGCATGGCTTTGGATTTTGGTTTGAAAATGTGGACAGAACACAACAGACAAAAGTGCAACGGCTATTGAAATGTTTGAGGAGGGAATGTGCTTTGTAGAATCACAATAATGTTTTGACATAGAAATTAAAATACAAGTGACCAAGGAGTATGGAAAATATAGCAAAAGGAAAATAAAAAAAGAAGCATAAAAAAATTAGAATAATAAATTATTCTAATTTATTATATATAGAGATCATATGTTTATATTTCAAAAAGTAGATTAATTAATTTTATAAGACTTAATTAATTACTTACTTGTTCTTTATCCATTAGTGGTTGCTTCTCCCTAGCCTTCTTTTTAAGGATAGTTTTCATTTGAAAGAATTTGAAAAATCAAGTGGTTTGCCTGGCTTGAATAATGTTAACTCTTTTCCTATATGTTTCACACCAATGTTTTCTTATTACCAATTAACAAAAGTATTGAATGTTTAACATATTTTTTACAGATGATGAATAAATTGATACATACAATTTTGTTTGTTAGTGTTTGCAAAAAGTATGGAGTCATTCACTTAGTAAGGTTTTTGGTGGAAATAAAAATATATTGTATATATAAACTCTTTAAATTTGTATTTTCAATGAGATTAAGTTGATATTTATGATTTTTTTTTTCAAAAAATGTCCATAGTAATTTTTATAATGAGAGTGGGTATATTTTTTAATATATTTTTTTTATGATGGAATATTTGATGTTATTGGGTTGGGTATGGTAGGTTGTTTTTATTTTATTTTTTTACATGCAAGTTCAAATTATTTTAAAATAAGAGAAAGACCTTTATAATGTAGGACAATTTTGTCATGATACTAAAAACTCTACTTTCGCAATTTGGAGAAAAGAAGTATGAATGGTGATCCCACAAAAAATAACTCTTTCTTCCTTCCCTTCCCTATATGCTACAAAATAGAAGCAATATGAATTATGTTAAAGTTTGTTTGTTTTTTTTATTTCATTCTTTCTTCCCAAACAGTCCCCAACAGGTTGTAGTTGTTTAGTTCCCAAACGTGTAGAGATACAACTCAAACAAGAAAGAAGAATTTAATTTATATGTGAATTGTCCCTATCAACAAAAACTTAGGGATCCACCCTACAAAATACAAAATCATCTTACACAATAACACCAATTCTACACTCCAATCACTTCTACCCTGTTCGTTCCATTCGTTGTCCTTTGATCAAACTTTCACAGCTGGATTCAAAATAACACATGCATTGTAATTGGTTAGTGTGTGTTTGAATAACAGATTCAGAAACTCCAAACGGAGATTTTTGTTTTGGTTTTTCATAGAAGAAAGTCTTTAACTTGGCATTTAAAATGGTGTTCTAAGTTACAATGCAACTCTAGTCTCAAGCCTTGTGGAAGAAGCTTTCTTTTAGATTTTTCATAGTGGGTTAAAGCCCATGGACCATTCTACTGAGCCCATTATGTTTGAAGTCCCTTGTTTTTAACCCTGGCCCATAATTTAGACTATATTGGTGGTGGTATTTTAAGGTTGTTGAATCAACTAGTTTTACTTTTACAAATTATTGAATACAAGATTCCCTCACAAAATGTAATAATTATATAATTTATTATAAGGAAGGGAAAATTATTTAATATTTAATATTTTTTAACTCCTAAGTCCATGGGCTAATTCTAACCTATGGGTTTCATAGTTTAAAATCTTAAACTAATCCATCAAACATGTCCAAAGCTCGTTCATGTCAATTTTGGAGTCCAAATTAATTAATCGTTGGTGTTTTTCAATGGAATCGTTCCCATTCTATTGATTTTTGGTCCTTGACTCGTTCAAAACCAGTGGTTTGTACCTAATTTGGCGACAAACCATAATGAGTTAAAATTATAGTTACTATTTTTGTTTTCTTAATCTTAAATTAATTACATACTTTTATCACTCTCAACATTGGTTCGTCAAAAAAAAAAAAAAAGTGTAGAACAATTTACATAAGATAAACCATCAATAAAAGAAGTTGACCCTGAAGAGAAGATTTGACGACAAAAAGGTTAAGAAAAGAGATAAAAAAGAAAATGACTTGATAAAAAGAAGTAAATCTTTTGACAGAAAATAAATTTGAAAAAAAAAGGCAGAAAAATAAAATTGTTAAAAAGCACATGAAAACTAATTAATAAACATAGAACGATAGAAAATTAAAAGTGTAAAATCAGTGACAGAAAGAAGAAAAGGATGAAAATAGCTTTCACAAGAATGGAAAGAAAGCTAGAAATAAAGTTGCGAAAAAAAGATGATTATGTTTTGAAAATGAAAAGAACAATAAATTAAAAGAGAAGAAATAATAAATCTATAACAAGGTAAAGTGTTATAAACAAAAAAAAAATGAAAAGTTATGTGTTAAGTTAAAAATTGGCAAATTGAATGTCGAGAAAAGTAGCACATTCTACCATTATCACCTAACAATCATTTAATTATGCTAATTAATACTTATATTATACGTTTGTTTGTAGCAGCAACAGCAACAAATTCAAACAGTAGTGGTAGTTGGTTTAAAAATATTTAAAAAAAAATAAAGGAAGGAGTGATAATTTGATCAATGAAATTATCGTTGAACATATATAATAAGAGGAAATCAAACGTTTATATTTATTAAAATATTGTCAAATTATAGAGAATCTTCTTTACCATCTATCTTTTCCAACGTTGAATAATGTTACAGATGGACTCTGCGTCAACTTTTAGTATCAGTTGCAACCAAATAATGGATTTTACAAATTTGATAAAATTTAAAATGAACATTGACTAAGACAATCACTTACATATGTACAAACGCATTATTTTTTTTGGACACTTGCCTTTTTGACGGTAGTTGTGGAAATTATGTTAATGAAACACGATAAAAGATTTTAAAAAATTATGAATGTCCCAAAATTATTTCGATTTTATATATATTTTGATAAAAAATATTATTATGATTACATGAGAAATATTATTTATTTTAATATTTTAATTTATTATGATTTTATTTTTTAAAAATATTATAATAAATTAAATATATATATATATATATATATATAAAAATTATTTTTTATTTCGAATCTAAACTATGTTAAGCTTATAAATATTAAAAACATAATTTTTAGTAAAAAATAAAAAAATATAAATAAAATAAACTCTATATTTAATTTTATGATAATTACATGGCGTTATTACCTAAATCTTAAAGAGTCATCGACTTCTATTATATTTCAAATGGATCACAGACAAATAAAAAATATGAATAACAATAATTATAGTAATATAGTATTTTATTATTTTAAATATATATTAAATAATTCTAAATATATCAGATAATGCTAAATATCTTAAATAATAATAAAATATTGATCAATATTTTGAATATTTTCCTTATATTTTAATTGTGAGTTCGGTAAATTACATGTATATTTGAATTAATTGAGATATGGGAGACATTAGTTTGCGTGGTGAAGAGTGAAGATGCGAAGAAGAATGAATCGGACGCAGTGGCAGTGACACAGGTGACATTTAATGCTTCTTGGCACGTGGCACGTTGTTATTGGTTATATCTGTGTCTTCGTGCGTGGGAGACAAAAACAACATCCATGACCACGTTGTCAAACTCAAAGGTCCGTGTGACAACGATGCCCATTCCCATTGTCCAACCAACCAATGTGTCAATTTTAATCAATCCTCTTTTCTTCCCTGTTACCCAATTTTTCATTTACCATATCTTTTATTTCATATTGTGCAAATCGTTTTTTAATTTTAAACGTGATTTCAAAATATATAAATGCGATGCCAAATTTATATTATAAAACTTTATATTATAATGAAGAATAGGTAAACATACTTTATATTATAATAGTTTAAATTTTAGAACAAAGGTTGACGTTAAAAAGTAGCCAGTATACCTAGTCAACAGTCAATTTTTTTAGCTCACATAGCAGCCCTAATTTATTGAACAACCACTTTATGTAACGAGATCACAAGTTGATTATTGTATTTTTAGTTTTTCTAATATTATATTATGCACTTTATTTTGTATATTATAATCATCAACTTTTTCAAACACGTGATTGCATATTTAAATTTATTAAAATTATTTTATTATATATTATTAATTATTTTTTTATTAATTATTATATATAGTGGTATTAGTTATTATTTATTCATTACAAAAAAAATTAGATTTTTTGACAGAAAAATTCATCGGTAAATAAATATTATTGACGGACAAAAATTTATCGAAAATTATTATAGATAATTATCCATAGATATATCCATCGGTAATATTTCAATAAAACATTTTTATTTATATTAATCTAGAGACAGTACCTTAAAATTGCAGATCGATACTCTAACCACTAACTTACTACGATTTTTCAATAATAACTTACAAATAAATTATATTTATATATAAATAAATATATATCAGTATAAAAATATAAATATAAACTATATAAATATAAATATAATTATATATTTATATATTTTAAATATTTACCGACGGATATATTCATCAGTAAGACCAAATTTCACAACGTATAATTAATTGTTCATTTACCGATGGATAATCACTTATTTTTCGATAGCTAAATATCCAGTCGATAAATATCCATCGATAAAGAATGATTTTCTTGTAGTGATTGATCGATAAGTTATTATATTTTGATATATTATTATCTTTTGAGTTTTATATAAGAAGACTCGATTAATGAGTAAGTTTCATTTCATCTATTATTCTTAAAAATATTACTTTTTTATTTAAAAGTTCACTTGAGCATTGAAATGAGTTTTGCGGGTAGGTTTATGTTATTTTCAAAAGAAGTTAATTAACATTCTCAAAGTTGAAGATAAAGTCCAAGTTTGAAATATAATCCACCAATCTCATCATATCCTCTTGACGACCTTCACTAGTTTG